GCCTGTTATTGTAGGCGGTCACATGCACACGCACTGTTGCAGCGGATGGATGGTCCGACTCCGAGAGCTACTGGGCGGAAATAACAGCCGAACAAAGAGGGGCCGCCGCCCGCACGGACTAGTACTGCTACTGCCAGCTGCGTAGCTATAGTTTCACCATCAGCTTGGTGGACCATCAGCTTGTTTGCTGGCTGCACGGTAGGAGCATGTTCCAGGCCAGCAGGCCGTCCGGATGTATCGTCTGCTGCTTCTTCGTTCTTCAGCAAGCTCGATCGATCGAGTGCCCCTTTTTTTGGCAGAACGGATTTTTGTTTTCCAACCACACACTGTTGAACAAACGTTTTTGAGAGAGAGAATCGTAGGTACACAGAGTAAAAACTTTGTTTTTTTTTGAAGGAAGGGAAAAAAAAAGAATTAGCAACACAATGAGCAGATGGACACGATCCATACCAGTTACTACGTACTGCTACTGTATTATGATTACGGGATCCGTGACGGCGTCACCTGTCGTCTATCTTGTCACTCGCTTCGCACAGCCTGAGCCGCCAGCCAGCTTGCGAGGGAGGATGGCGCCCGCTCCCGCGGGCTCGGGCCTCGGGCGGTCTATGGGCTACGTGGGCTACCGGGCCGCGCGTCCTTGGTGGCCCCTAGACACAATCGAGCCTGGTGTTGTGGGGTCCCAGACTCCCAGGAAGACGGATGGATGTTTCAAAAAATAAAAAAGAGACCGATGGATCATGGATGGGCCCTGGATTGATCCGGTTGCCAGTTTGCCACTTCTCGGTGTGTGCCTGGCGTCTGCGTCTGCGTCTGCTCCCCACTCCGCACGTCGCCCCATGCAACGCAACGCAGTCGGTCTCGGTCACGCACTACTCACACAGAGAGAAGAGAGAGAGAGCACCGGTCCTACTCCTCGGCTACTCGCTCAATCCCTCTCTCCTGCGCGCACTCGCCTCGCACTCGGCACTCTCTCCTCTGGCCTCGGTGTGGGTGGTGTGGCCAGTGGCCGTCGTCGGCATCGCCTCCCCCTCCCCGGGCGCGAGAGAGAGAGATCAGGGAGGACGTCCTCCTCCTCCCTCCTCTGACCTCCGATCTATCAGCCTATTCGATTGGCTGGTTCATATCGTTACTGGTTCATTTATATGAGACATAAGTACTACTGGCTAATTGTAAATAGTATTTATGTGAAGGGGCTGGCCGATCGGGCTGCATGCAATTGCAATTTGCATTTGCGTCCGGACCAGACACTCGGACAGCGACGGCTGCTGCCGTCCTGCGTCCTCTCCGCGAAAGCGACGCTGTGGCCCTGTCACTCGGTCGCTCCCCGTCTCCTCCTCTCGCTGGCTACAGCCCAGCAGACCCTTGGCCCTGGCTACCCGATTGTTTTTAAAACAGCATCCGCTGACGCGACAGAAACCGTCGAGCCAAACAGCCAGAAACGATCGAGGGGGCTGCCGCTGTACGTGCTACACTGCATGTCTGCACGTCTGCACTGCTGGGCCTCCTCCTCCTCTGCTCTCGCTCGCACAGGCGCGCCGCGGCAGAACAGAATGCAGTGCAGCGCGGCAGGGACGAAGGCAGGCACGCCTTCTCCGTGACAACCTGCCACCGACGCCCTCGACGCCGACGCCGACCACCTCCGGACCCTCCTTCATTCATTCGCCCATAGGAGTACGTCGCTCAGTCTGTTCCCGTGCCAGTGCCATGCGGATGCAGATGCAGATGCAGATGCACAGATGCAGGCAGTCCTGACTCCTGGCGCCAACAATTCAACGCCGGAAAGCTAGCTTCCGTAGGAGTATATCTAGCTCCGACCCCACCGGGCGAGACAATGACCATGCAATCCAACTCCGACCGACACGTCTCGCATCGCCGTCGCGTGTTCAATTAAGTTAACTACGTAGGAGTATATATAAAATCTCTTTTCCAACGTCGGTGCTCGCTAGCAGCTGTACTAGGTTGGGTTCCGTCACACTCCAACGGCCCAACCTTCCTTTGCCTCTCCATTTTCGTCTCCCGCTGATATTCACTTAGGCTGCGTTCGGTTGCCAGGTTTTGGTGGCCTAGAATCATTCCAACCGGAATTCCTTCTGTAATTTATATAGCTGCGTTCACTGGGAACTATTCCAGTCAAGAACCACCCCTAACCGAACGGGGCCTTAGTAAGAATAAGTAGCCAGTGCATGTGCATGTTTCATCCCTGGCTAATAGTCAGCTAACTGTTAGCTCCCCAATACACATTTCTCTTTTTTTCCCCAATACATCTTTATCTCTACTTCTTGAGAGGCATTTTGGTATTTTTAGCTTCAGCATTGATTTCCATAAGAGTTTCTAAAACACCTAACTTGAGGAGTACTAATCAAATGGATCGGACTAACGACTAACTCAAGGCGTGGTTCAAATTGGCCTATATGTTTGGATAGACTAGAACTAATTTCCAAATTATTAGTATAGTTTTATCAAATGGATCTAGCTGATTATGGAGTCATAAAGACTAATCCAATTCATAGTACTTACAACATGCATGTACCAGGTAGTTAGTACTATACAATATATACAATATACTATACTACTAGATAATAAGGAGTATAAAATACGAGTGCCAACCTTAGGCCTGGGCATTCGGGTTACCCTATTTTTTTTTGATCGGGTAATTCAAAATTTGGGTAATGAAAACTGCTACCCGATACTGGTCTAAAAAAACACTACCCGCAATTTCGGGTACCCGATAATTCGGGTTCAGGTATTCCCGATATACCTGAATTTACAAAAAAAATAGCAAACTACACAAATATTCAGTAGCAATTTATATAAAATTTCAATAGCATTTTGTAGAGAATAATGTATTAAAGTCGCTTGTTCAAACAGAGAGAATTATATTCTAATAAAGTCATAAGTTCTAAGTGTTCAACTAACAACACATGATAAATACAAAGACAGAGACACATGTTTGGGTAGTTCGGGTAATTTGGGTACCGGGGGATATTACCCGAATTACCCAAACTAATTTCGGGTAATCAAAATCGCTATCCGAATTTTAGATCGGGTACCTCGGGTTCGGGTAGTTTGGGTAATTTGGATATCGGGGAATATTATCCGAATTACCCAAACTAATTTCGAGTAATCAAAATCGCTATCCAAATTTTAGATTGAGTACCTCGGGTCCGGATTCAGATAATTTATGTATGGATAATGGGTATCGGCTATTTTGCTAGGCTTAGCCAACCCGTACTCCATCTCATGAGCACCTCATGTGCGCTGCGCTGCGCTCTCACGAGCCGCTGAGCCTGAAACGAGTGCGGCTGACTGAGCACTAGCTGCTTTCGATTTGCGTGGCTTTTTGCCTTTTTCTCTTTTCTCCTCCGCTCTGCGCTGCGCCCCTCCCTCCCTTTGTTTCCTCTGAATCTGACCATCTCTGCTTGCCTGCTGCTTTATTTATTTGCTCTTCTTCTTTACTAGTACCATCTAATAGTAATGGAGAGAGTGATGGCTGACCTCGTGCTGCATTTCTTGCTTTATTACTCCACTCATTATACGTGTCCTTCCTCCCGGCAAACATTTGTTAGTTAGGATTTCCAGTCCTACCACCTTCGCCTCATGTACGTACGAGTCGTGACCACGGATTCTCTGTGCGCCAATTGCCCGCCTGCGTTTTCTAAGCCCTGCTGGTCAGCTCACACACACTGTCTTTTTCTTTTCTTTTCTTTTTCAGGTATAATAATGAACTATCCAATGTGCTTATTTGAGGTTCTCTAAATTAGGAGAATGAAGCTCCCATTCCCATAACCGTTCACATCACAATTAGAACTTTGCGGAGCAAATCAGAGTCCGCGCTCCCTTTATATTCGTCAAACTTCTACACAACTTTTTTTTAGGAGATCTTTTCCATGATCCTCATCTAGAAATAAATATGTGTGGTTTGGCCTTGACCAACAATTCTTGTTGAGTCAACAAACTAAACCCAAACATGCATTAAGCTGTGGTGACGTGTCCAATCCACCGCCCACCCTCCCTTTAATTTCCCACTTTTTATTCCACTACTAGGAGCAGCGCTATATATCCTGTAGTATTATTAGTTTATCTCAGCCTAATTATATATAGTGGCATCATGAGACACACATTGGGATCCATCATAAAGCCATCAGCCGTAGAGGATCTCTCCAGCCCCTTAACCCAACACACATGCATTGCCCTACAAAGATCGCCTTCCCCTGTGCCACTCATCATGACCATCATCACACTCTGTACGTTCTGTTTACTACCCCCTTTCCGATTAATTGCACCACACACTTAATTCAAAAAAGTTAGTAGTTTTAATTCAACAACCCCCTTGCATTGGTAGTCATCAACTACCTAATTACGCATCTGCTTGGCAATCTTGTGACGCCCAATTCAGAAGTCCGTGGAGGATCCAGAGAATCATCATCGTGCAGATGCAGCATCGACAGAATCACAGAAACTAAACGCGAGCCTTCTTCTCCTTCTGTTCTTGCGCGCTGCGATCTTGCCTGCCTGTGCCTGGCTGTGGTGCTGACGTGGGATGAACATGGATGAGAGAGATGATGCCACCTCAGCAGCAGCGTGCGTGCATGCATGCATGCATGCCAGAGGACAAGCCAGTCATTGGGCACTCGAGCACGGCCCGTCGCCCGGTCGCCGTATTGCAAACGCCAACTGCCCTCTCCGTTCCGTTGCCCATGTCTGCATCTGGTATCTACTTATTATTATATATATATAGTTAAATGCACCAGATGTCCATTAACTTGTGAGGATGTTTCGGTTAGGTTCATCAACTTTTAAAGTGGTTTTTTGGGTCTATAAACTTTGTATGCCGTATCACTTAGGTCCATATCCCGCCACGCGGGCTTCTCATGCTGACGTGGCCTGCTGACATGTCATTCTGAAGCAGCTCTTAGCAATGCATTTTGTCAAACAACTTGTGGGCGACGGCGACAGCGTCCCCGGCGCGCCGAGCAGCGAGCCCGACAACGCGTTGCCGCTCACGTCGACATGGGCGAGTCGCGGGAGGAGCCCGACGCCTCCAGCAGGTCGATCAGCAGCGCTGCGTGGTCCTCGCTGTAGAGGCAGGTGAACACGCTGAGGTCAGCGCTGAGCCACGCGTGCTCCAGCGACCGCCGCTTCGCCCGCGCGAACAGCCCCGACGGGTAGTGCTCCGCCGTCGCCTTCATGGTGTCGCCCCAGTTGTTGATGGCGGCCACCTCCACGATGCCCCGGATGTTGAGCATGAGCGCCAGCACGATGGCGTCCCGGAACGGCATGGTGAAGAAGAGCCCCGCGGCGACGCAGCCGACGAGCTTGCCCGACACGCAGAGCGCCACGAACAGCTCCAGCGTGCACCACTTCTCCGACGCCTCGGACCTGGTGAACTCGGCGAGGTCGGTGCGGTAGCCGGAGAGCGCCATGTAGACGGGCAGGAAGAGCGCGATGAAGAAGGAGTCAAGGCGCTCCGTCATGGTGGCGCCGATGGGCCTGCCGCCGGGGAGCGCCAGCCCCAGCATCATTCCGGTGCGGCCTCCGCTGCTACGCCAGCGGGCCACGCCCTGGTACATGTCTCTGGTCTGCGACAGGAACGACAGCGGGCCACGGCTGAGCCCCAGCAGCCCCTGCGGCGTCGTTTCTGGTGTCGACGGCCAGGAGCAGCTGCTGCGGCGGCGTGCTGAGGCGGGCGCGCACCACGTACGTGGACGTCTGCAGCAGCTGCCGCCCCGACGCGATGGGCGCGTACGCGCGGGCGCGGCCACGCGCCGCCAGCGAGTCTAGGTACAGCAGCCGCGGCGCGTCACGCGACGCCTGGTCCGCCAGGAACACCGCAGCTGACGGTGCCGCCGTCCCTGGGCCCTGCGGCGAGCAGGGACCGAACGCTTGCGACACCTGCAGCGTGTTCCCGGCGTCCGGTGGCGTCGCGGGGCACGACGAGCTCGAGCTTGAGTGTGACGCGGTCGCGCCGCCCGCGACCACCACCAGCAGAAGCGCCGATATCATCCTAGCACCGCGCAGGTCGAGGCCACGACCGGACCTCCACGGCGTCCAGCGGCCGCAGCCGGAGCTCCATGGAGTCGAGCAGCTGCACGGGTAGGGCGGGCGTCGAGGCCGCGACCGGACCTCCACGGCGTCCAGCGCCCGCAGCCGGAGCTCTATCGGGCGCCGCGGCCATGGCCAGGCAGCTGATGGTCCCGTACGTGCTATGGATAACCACGTTCTCCTCCGGCAGCGTCACCTGCATGCCGTCAAACAGCAGTGTCACGGGCGGCCACACCACGGCGGTGGTGTTGAAGCACGTGTTGAACCCTCCCAGCGAGGACACGGGCGCGCCGACGCGGCGCCGGACCCCTGCTGAGGCTGGGCGCAATGCGCTCGCTGGTCCACCTCGACGTGAGCGGCAACGCGCTGTCGGGCTCGCTGCTCGGCGCGCCGGGGACGCTGTTGCCGTCGCCCACAAGCTGTTTGACAAAATGCATTGCCAAGAGCTGCTTCAGAAGGACATGTCAGCAGGCCAAGTCAGCATGAGAAGCCCGCGTGGCGGGATATGGATCTAAGTGATACTACATACAAAGTTTATGGACCCAAAAAACCACTTTAAAAGTTGATGGACCTAACCGAAATCTCATCACAAGTTAATGGACCTATGGTGCATTTAACTCTTATATATATAAGTATACACGCTACATGCTAACAAAACTCCTCGTCAAAACTGCATGATTAAGCCTAGGCTAGTCCTGCTGGCTAATCTGTACCCACGTAGAGCTTTGTCAAACGCCAGTATCACTCCTTGCATGGCCCTTTTCTGAATCTCTTTTGGATGTATATATAAAATGTAGCATGATCTGTTCCGTCTCTTGATTTGCTGCTAGAGGAGTACTCCATATAGAGTAGGTCATGGATATAGAAGAAGGAAGGTGATACCTCATACTACCTTGGTGGTGATCTTACGCTGGTCGGGTGCTGGGTTTAGGCATATTCCAAGCCTTGGCCGGCAAGGCTTCCCTGTTCTCTTCTGTTCTGCTACATGCATGTTGTGTTGGAGAAGAGAAATCACCTTTTCTCCCAAGATTCCTCTCACAGAATATATATATAATGGGTAAAAGTCGGTTGCTGTTGGACCAGTGGTTACTGTACAAAGATAACAGTTGTTTGATTTTGCGGTGAAAAGCAGGGAAATGCAAATTTTGACACAAAGGCAGCCACTGGATTGATGAATTACTCGTACTAGTTATTACTACTCTAAAGAAATAGTAATAAACATAGAGTTTTTTTTTCTTGATTTTTTTGAGCAAAAACAGAGGCCTTTCCTTGATCCATAGAAGGAAATCCAGATTACCACAGAGCAGCTAGTCAATGAGTCAATACAAGTCAAGTCAAGTAAAGTAAAAAAGGGATACCTTTTTTTCCTTTCCCAATTCCCATGTGTAGTAGTACACTCCCCTGTCCCCTCCCCTATCGCTGGCTGTTTCCTTGAATTTCCTGTGAACCAGCTCCAGCTGTGGCTGGAGTGAGTGACCGCAATACCAGCAGGGCAGCAGTGTGAAGGGTTTGAAAAGACGCTCCCGGTACTCCACTGTAACTGAAAACCCCACAGTCGTCACGGACCGCGTCGGTGCTTGCCGAGTTTCCTGCAGCCTGCATGGCGTCGCCCTTGGCCCTTGCTCTGTTGGTGTGGCCGACGAGGATTTGACGGGTGGAAAAGCAGCCTTCGTTCCCGTTCCAGCCTACCAGGTCACCTCCCTCCTCCATCCCTCGCATGCCAAGTGCAATGTAGGACGATGCAGCAGAGGAAAGAAAGGCCGAAAGAGACGCCGAGACGGGCCCCAGGGTCCCCCCCTCTCACAAGCCAAACCTCACTTCACTCTCTCTCTCTACTCTCGAAGGAATCAACCACCCAGGCAGGCAAATCACACACAGAGAGAGAAAGAGGGGCATTGCATTGCATGGTTGATTGTGGCAAGGGAGATTCTTCTAATTCTAATCCTAATCCTACAGCGAGTGAGTAGATAAACAAATGATAGAGAGACGACATGAGAAGATTATGAAATGGTGTCCCCATCCACATGCCAGTATGGTCGGTGTGTAGATGAGGAGTATATAAACTCCCCGAGGGAGAGCGAGAGATTTCCGTCCAAAGGTGGAAGAAGCAAAGCATCTCATTCCCCAGGCCACCCCTCCGGCCTCCCCCTCCACCTTTTGTAGCTTTCCCATTCCCCCTCTTGCGTGCAAGCATCTTCCCCGCTCCATCTCCATCTTGTTTAACCCCCCTAGCTCTCATGGTCTTGGAGCTCGTTGTTCTACCGCTGGCTGCCGCGTCAATCCCTGTCTGTTCGTTTCTGTCGCGCGGTTGCTTGCCTTGCTTACCTTGCCGAGAGATCGTGATCGTGAGCGGCGTGTGACCCGGCCAGCCTAGGCGTCTTCCGGGGGCGGGGGCCGTTGCTGTTTATTCGTCCGTTGCCCATCAATGCACTCCTCCCTTGCCTCCCCTGCATGCAATCCGTGTGTGCTCGCCGGCGTTGGTTTCGTGTGTCGCCTGCCTGTCTGTCGTCCTCACCGCAACGCCCTCCCCTCCCCGCCGCGCTCGCCACTAGCATTGCCTTCTCCTTCCGCTACAAGAATCTGACGAGCCCCTCCCGCGGTGTCCCCAGCTCCCTCCTTTCTCGACAGTGTTTTAGTCTGCGCATTGCTCTGCCCGAGGAGCAGCGGCGGCAGCTGCAGAGCCATTGCCGCGTTCGCTCGCGCCGCGGTTCATGCTCCTGGAGTCGGAGGCGGCTACCTAGCTAGCTGACGGCGGGGCATGCGTTTCATCACAGGTGGCGGTGGCGGCGGGTCGGCGGCGCGGTCGTACGAGCCCATGGCCACGGTCGACACCACGGACCTGCGCTACTGGCTGCACTGGCGGGTGGGGCTGTGCGGCCTCTGGGTGCTCGCCTGCATGGCCGTCTCGGGCTACCTCATCTGGCGCCACGAGGGCGCCGGCGCCGACCGGCGCCCCGGCGGCGCGTCGTCGTCGGCGTCGGCCTCCTCGGGCCCCGCGGCTGGCGGCGAGCCCGGCTGCAAGGGGAGGCGCCCCGGGGTGCTGTACGACGACGAGGCGTGGCGGCCCTGCCTCCGCGACATCCACCCGGCGTGGCTGCTCGCCTACAGGCTCATCTCCTTCTTCGTCCTCCTCAGCCTCCTCGTCGTCATTGTCATCTCCGATGGCGGCAGCATCTTCTACTACTACACTCAGTAAGTCACCAGGCCAATCGCTTAATTTGCTACTAGATACTTCTTCCTGTTTTCTTTGATTTCCTCTGCCTTTTTTTTTCCTTTTCTAATTTTGAAAACAAAGATTGTTGTGGATTAGATGCAAAGTTGAGTAAAGATTCCCCATTTTAAAAACCTTTTGTCTTAAAAAAGAACAGAAGGAGGCGCATTGCCACTCAGCTGCTGCAGCTGATTAAGTCTTTGTATTTGGTGCTTGATTGAATTAGAAATCAGTCAGCAAGTTTGGCATTTGTTCTGTCCCCTTGTAATACTCTGAGTTTACAGGGAATAAAGGGCTCTTTCCATGGAACAAACCTGTTTTAAACATGGGGTCCTTTTTCAGTTGCAAGAACTGAACATGGTTCTTGGAAACAACTAGTAGCTTACACAGCATTCTCTGTTATACTACTGTACACAATTGATGGCTGCCAACAACTAGTAGCTTACACAGCAAGCGACACCCTCTGTGTCTGGTTTCCCCCCTTCACCAGTAATCTTTTCCTACAGTAGTACATTCTATATAGACTATTATTTGGGTGATGTACTGTTTTGCTTTAATTTATTATTTGGAAAAGGGCGTCACTGTAGATGTCTAATGTCTTGTGAAGCAGATTTCAGAAACAGTTTTTGTGGTTTGTGCACTAGTTAAATATTAGCAACTGATCATAAGCACCACATAGAGTGGGTTTTGGAGCTCTGTTTGTGTGGTCAGGCTTATCTACGCTTCATCGTAAATGATAAGTGGATAGTGTTGTAAGAATACCCACTCCAACTAGATGGTCTTCAGACTCTCTGTTCCATTGAACCTGAACATTTCTGATGCAAGTTTTCAACTGTAAATAAATACCTGTTTTTCAGATATTGTCTTCTTTTATTTATAAATCACTAGTGTAGCCTTTTTTTCCACCTTTTTTAAAAACACTCTGAGATTGTGACTGGTTGGTAGCACCAAATTTTTATGAAAGATCTGGTTGCTGTTCAAGTGTTTCTGCTTTGTAACTCTGCTCTTGGAAATAGCACTTGTCCCGCCCTGCCAGCTTCTTCTAACGGTTGTTGAACTGTCTGTCGTGCAGGTGGACCTTCATTCTGGTGACGATTTACTTCGGGGTAGGCCTTTTCTCTTTCATAGTCACAGCCAAATAATTTATCTGTCCACTGAATTCCTCAAGCCAATGATGCTTGCCAAAGACTTTGAAACGACCCGTTATCTGAAGAATAATTGTTTGTGAATTGTTTCAGCTTGGCACAGCCCTATCCATCTATGGCTGCAGCAAGTTCACTCATGAGAACGTCGCCGCGGTGGCAGCAGACATGGAGCTTGGCACGAGCTACATCCCTCATGGCTTGGCTGCTAAACCGACCTTCGATGAGCGCGATGGAGCTAGAGAGATTGCTGGGTTCTGGGGTTACCTGCTCCAGATCATCTATCAGGTAAAGAGGCCTCCACACCACCAAACACTTTGAAATATTATCCAGTTGGGGGACCTTTTCATGTTTCTTATTGGAGAGAGACATCTGTATGGTGCACTGACATTGGCTGATTTGGTGTTGCATACATGGAGGGGTTCTCATTTTGCTTTCGAGGTGCAATTATTAGTGCCGGGTAGTTACCATGATGCACTAACGACTGAATCAGTATGTTTATGGTGTGCTCATGGATCGGATTCTGTTTCTTAAGATCAGATCAGATGTGCCCACATAGCACCTCTGTCTGGTCACACCTCCATCTCCATGGCATGTAGCTGCTCCTACATGAGCCAATTGCTAATGGTCCATGTCCAGGCGTTCAGTCTGTATCTCTGCACACTGCGCAGCTCATGCATGTTTCCTTGCTTGCTCGAAGGGCTGAGTCACCTTTCCCCTTATTCCTGAAGTGTAGGGCTGACTCTTTAGATCGTGGCATCAAGAATAAAGGCAGCCTGATTCCTTTGGATTGATTTGCTAGGCCTAACTGTATCAGCAATGGTGACCGTGACTGAATGTTACCCTAGG